GAAGATTTGCAGTTACAACAAAAAGAAGATGGAAGATGTTAAACAAAAGCTCTTCCTCTAATGGTGGTCTGAAAACGAAAGCAGTAAAATCTTGACTAAAATATCAGGTTCCCATCTACACTCTATGGTGAAAACGACTTGTTCAAGTTCAAAGCGAACATCAGAATTAATGAAGAAAATATGTTTATTTGACTTTCAATAGCTGTTGGTGCCACATAGACTGATCTGAGTTCTTCAGAACCAGCTGAACTGCTCGGACCTTCACTCAAAGTCATTTTTCAGGTTAAAGAAAGTTCTGAAACAGAAAATAACATCCAGTGAGCAGCAGCTGTGTGGATGGTAATGTCAGAGGTAAGAGAAGGGACAGACTGAGTAAAGATAATATACATTGGCAACTGTAGTTCAAACTGGCCACAACAACGATATGCAGAACACCATCTGTGAAGGTAGAACACATGAAATATACGCTAGCTTTTGACCTGCTGTGAAAACGTGCAACAGCCACACAAACTTTTTCTGTGGACAATTAGAAACTATAAGGCATCAAAACTCACTTAAATGCACTGAAAAAATGCACAAGAAGCATCAAACCTGATGTTTTTTCATGATTTTTATTGTTTCAACGTAAACGATGAAACTGAACCACATTATCCTCAGACAATATCCTAACACGCACACAAAATAAAGAAAAAAATAAAAGGATGTGAAGACCTCACTCGAATGTAAATAATAATTTTCGTCAGTTTTTGTCTCAAAGATGTAACGCAGGGGTGTCCAAAGTGGGTCCTCGAGGGCCGGCATCCTGCATGTTTTAGTTCTCTCCCTAGTGGTAGTAACAGCCTCCTCAGCAAGTCAATGTTCTCGCCTTCTAATGAGCCATCATTTGAGGCAGGTGTGCTAAACCAGGGAGAGAACTAAAACATGCAGGATGCTGACCCTCGAGGACCCACCTTGGACATCCCTGATGTAACGCATCTGTGTGCCAAAGCGCATGAAATACATCTGCAGGACGATTTCTTTATACAAATTTTCTTCTTCTTTAGACATTTTTTTGTGCGCCACACTTTCCTAAGTTTGTCCATACACCAAGTTTTATTGTGAAAACTGCGTACTCTTTTATATATGAGGCCCCTGGTACCTGGCTTCGAGGCGATTCTGGGCCACCATCCGGCGTCTCAGGAGGGGGAAGCGGTGCAGCACCAACACTGTTTATAGTGGGGATGGTGTGCTGCTGACCTCAACTAGGGACGTTGTGAG